AAAACTTTACAATGCACTATGACGTCATAATTTCGGGAGGTGGATTACTTGGGCTCATTACTGCGATAGGTTTGAGTGATCACTCGATGAATGTTGCAGTCATTGAGAAGAATAGTTTACCACGTGTAATCGATGATAACAGAGCATTTGCTATTTCTCAAGGATCAAAACAGATATTGGAAAAGTTAGGGATTTGGCAATTTGTACATACAGAAGCTGAGCCTATACTTGATATATGCATACTAGATGAAAATAGTCCGGTTACTGTGCATTATGATCATAAAATGGTGAGTGAAGAACCTATGGGTTATGTTATCAGTAATGCTATTATATGGAATGCGATCAACAATAATTTTTTAGGTAAACTCAATTTATATTCTCCGCACTCTTATAAGATGATTTCCAGTGATGCAGGATATGTTGAAGTTGTTCTTGATGATGGGCAGAAGCTGGTATCGCCGTTACTTATTTGTGCCGAAGGGAAGCACTCTAAGATCCCAGAATTATTTTCTATACCGACAGTCAAGTTTGATTATAAGCAAAGCAGCATAGTGTGCAATGTGAGACACGAGCTGCACCATCAAAATCTAGCAGTGGAGAGGTTTTTTCCTGGCGGCCCATTTGCGATTCTACCAATGAAGGGTGGTAATACTTCTTCAATAGTGTGGACAGAAAAATCCAAAATTGCAAAGATGCTTATGAATTTATCTGATGCGGAGTTTATAATAGAACTCAAGAAAAGATTTGGTTCTTACTTGGGGGAAATTAGTGTGGATGGGAAAAAGAATTGTTATCCATTAAGTTTTTCTTTTGCAAGGAGCTTATATAAAAACAGAGTTTTACTTATAGGGGATGCAGCGCACTCAATTCACCCTGTTGCAGGCCAAGGGCTTAATCTTGGAATAAGGGATGTGGGAAGTGTTATAAAACACATAACTACAACAAGTATTGATATTGGTAGCAATTATCTGCTAAAGAAAATCTCACGTGAGAGATGTATTGACAATATTACTATGGCACTGGCTACGGATGGGCTGAATAGAATATTTTCTAATAGAATATTTTGCGCTAAAGCACTGAGAAATTTCGGTTTGATGATGGTTGAGAATTCTGTTTCATTAAAAAAGCGTTTTATTCTTCACGCTATGGGATTTTGATGTTCTTTTTATTCTCTTGATTTTCTCTTTGGTCTATTTGATAAAGCTAGCTTGATATTTAAAAGTGGAAACTTAGTTAATTATGAATTAATAGCATCTCCTATTTATTGAAAAATGTAAGTCAGATATTTAGTGAATTCATCTAAAAATTAAAGTATAATGCATACTTTAAAGTGCAGAAAAAATGATTCACCAACACAGTGATAGGATGTATGGGACTACCATACTTTCAATTAGAAAGGATAAAAGTGTGGTTGTTATAGGGGATGGACAAGTTTCACTAGGCCATACTATTATGAAATCTGGAGCAAAAAAAGTAAGACGATTATCTGGCGATTCTGTTATTGCTGGCTTTGCTGGAGCAACTGCTGATGCGTTTACTCTTTTTGAAAGGCTAGAGGCAAAACTTGATAAACACCCTGGGCAATTAATGAGAGCATGTGTTGAACTTGCAAAGGATTGGCGAATGGATAAATTCTTAAGAAGATTAGAAGCTATGATGATAGTTGCGGATAAATCTGTTTCATTGATTGTTACAGGTACCGGTGATGTTCTTGAGCCTGAAGATGGAATTGCAGCTATTGGCTCTGGAGGGAATTTTGCTTTGTCTGCAGCAAGAGCTTTAATTGATATTCCAGGGATATCAATGGAAGAAATTGCGAAAAAGGCAATGAAGATAGCAGCTGATATCTGTGTTTATACAAATCATAATGTAATTATTGAAAAGATAGAAGGGGATTTATGATTCATTATCAACCTATGGCTCTTTCAGAGGAACAATTTGATGAAAAGGGCCTTTTTTGTGAAGATTATGAGAGCGATTTTAATGGTTATGATTCTGAGCTTGACGCAGTAGGTGAAATGTCACCACAGAGGATAGTGACAGAATTAGATAGGTTTATAATAGGTCAAAGTGATGCAAAGCGTGCCGTTGCGATTGCACTGAGAAATCGTTGGCGTCGTAATAAAGTTTCTCTTCCTTTGCGTGATGAAATCATACCTAAAAATATACTTATGATAGGTCATACGGGAGTTGGTAAAACAGAAATAGCTCGCCGCTTAGCAAAGCTTGCAGGTGCACCGTTTGTAAAAGTTGAAGCAACAAAATTCACTGAAATAGGGTATGTTGGGCGTGATGTTGATTCAATAATACGCGATTTGGTTGATGCTGCTATAGTTCTAGTCAAGGAAAAAGCTCGTAGGGCATTAGCAAAGAAAGCTTTACGCTTAGCTGAGGAGATAATAGTGAATGCCTTAGTTGGTGAAGGCTCTACTGATGAGACTAAGAGGATTTTTAGAGAGAGGCTGAGAAATAAGGAATTTGAGGACGGTGAAGTTTCAATTAATGTAAGAGAAAATAAGAATACATTTCCTGCTTTTGATATACCGGGTATGCCAGGTGGGCAAGTTGGCATTATGAATGTCACGGAATTGATGGGAAAGATGTTTAATGGCAGTAAGAGAACAAAAACTATTACGGTTAAAGTAAAGGAAGCGCGTGAAATATTGGTGAATGAAGAAAGTGAAAAATTAATGGATGAAGATAAGATCATTAAAGAAGCGATTGATCTGGCTAGTAATGNGCGATTGATCTGGCTAGTAATGATGGTATAGTGTTTTTGGATGAGATTGATAAAATTGCAGCGCGTACTGAGGTAAAAGGTGAAGTAAACAGGGAAGGGGTGCAGCGCGATCTGCTTCCATTACTTGAGGGAACAGTTGTTTCAACAAAATATGGCCCTGTTAAAACTGATTACATATTATTTATTGCATCTGGTGCTTTTCATTTGTCTAAGCCCTCAGATTTGCTGCCAGAATTACAAGGCAGATTACCAATTAGAGTAGAGCTCAAAGCTCTAACGCAAGGGGATTTAGTAAGAATATTGAAAGAACCAGAATCTAGCTTGTTAAAGCAATATGTGGCCCTGATGGAGACAGAGAATGTGAATCTTGAGTTTACTAATGATGGCATAGAAACTATAGCTGAAATAGCATCTACAGTTAATAGAGAAGTAGAAAACATCGGAGCAAGAAGACTTCATACTATCATGGAAAGACTTCTGGATGAAATAAGCTTTTTTGCTTCTGAAAAAAGTGGCGAGAAATTTATGATAGATAGTAAATACGTTAGGGATAGACTAGGGTCCATTTCTAAGCAGTTAGACTTGTCTAAGTTTATACTGTAGTAAAATTAAAGAAAGAGAGTTTATATGNATAAAGGGCCTAATGATAGAGCAGAGTACCAAAAAGATGATGGAGAGACAGTATTAGATAGTGATGATCCACAAGCCTTAGAATTGTTGGGAGATGAAGAGTGTAGAAAAGTTCATGATATGGTTGGTAAGTGGTTTAATAAAATTCTAGGAGATGATAACCTGCAAGAAGAGCGTGGCTTAGAGTTATTGTAAGACACGGAGTATTTGTCAATTGCTAACATTTTCTGGTGATCTTGCTTGTATCTATGGTTTCTACTCTGGAATTAGTTTACTATAATTTTTGAATAAGATTAACACTTTTTTAACTTTAGTAGTCTATATTTTATAGTCTATAAACACTTAAAGTAAGGTATTTTATGATAAATGATGCTTCTTTGGTATCAGAGGAACCTTTGAGAAATAGTAGAAGTAAACAGCTTTTTATGCAAATTGCTGCTTGGTTGATAGATAATACTAGTTTGACCTTTGATCAAATAGCACAATGCTGTAAATTAACTCTTGAGGAGATACAGGATATAGCTGATGGAGAAATAGATGTTGAAAAGTTTGACCCTATAATTTCTGGGATAGTCACTGAAAAGGATCTTAAAAATTGTCAAAACGACTTAGACCAAGTACCAAAAATTATGGTAAAAAATCTTGGCAGACTGAGAAAAAGAGCATTCGGTGTGAATTTTGGAGCAATGTGTGTAGCGAGGCGTAGGGATAAGCCTGACGCGATTTATTATTTAATTAAAAAATTTCCCATTTTAGATAATGTTGTAATAGCTAAGCTGGTTGGCACAACAAGTCATACTGTTGAGCAGATAAGAAATGGCACGCATCATAATATGCATAATATTAAGCCTCAAGATCCGATACTTCTAGGGCTGTGTAGCCAAAAGAATTTGGAAGCGGAGGTAGAAAAGGCGGAAGTTGAGAGAGAAAAGCAGGAAAGGTTAAGGAACATAAAAAATGTTTATTAAATTGCCTTAACGTTAAATTAACTTGACTTACTAAACATTATTTATATTATACAAATAAAGTAACCTTTTATGCGGCTGGCTTCTTGGAAACCGATTTAGCCCAGCTTATTATCTTATTTATAGGGTAAGCACCAATTAAAATTTAAAAATCTTGGAGGATTATGGTAACGACTAATGACGATACTTTAGCGCAGGCAACTCAATCTGAGCTAGATGACATGCAAAAGAATGATAAAAAAAAATTAGATCTAGGTGAATTAAAAGCTAAAACACCAGAGGACTTATTGAAATTAGCTGAGGAATGGCAGGTTGCAACTAATGGAAGAAGTAATGGTAGAATGCTAAAGCATGAAATAATTTTCAGTTTAATGAAGAAAATAAGTGAGGAGGGAGGTGTTACTACTGGTAGTGGAGTGGTAGAAATATTACCTGAAAATTTTGGATTTTTGCGTTCAGCAAGTGCAAATTATGCACCTAGTAGTGATGATGTTTATATTTCCAACGGGCAAATTAAAAAATTTAATTTACGCACAGGAGATATGATACATGGAGAAATAAGGCCGCCTACTGATAAGGAAAGATATTTTACTCTAACCAAGGTTCACAGCATCAATTATACTGATGTGGGTGCGTTAAAGAAATATGTACATTTTGATAATTTATTACCTCTTTATCCTGAGGAAAGTTTAACACTTGAAAGTGAGGGTAACGGTGATAAAAAAGATATAAGTATGCGTGCTATAGATATAGTCACTCCGCTTGGAAAAGGGCAAAGAGCACTGATAGTTGCTCCGCCTCGCACAGGAAAGACAGTGCTGCTTCAACAGATGGCTCATTCAATAGCTACAAATTATCCTGAAATAGAGTTAATAATGTTGCTTATAGGTGAAAGGCCGGAAGAGGTAACAGATATGACACGCTCTGTAAACGGAGAGGTAGTGAGCTCCACATTTGATGAGCCTGCTTACCGTCATGTACAACTTGCTGAGTTAGTCATAGAAAAAGCTAAAAGGATGGTTGAACACAAAAAGGATGTAGTAATATTTCTTGACTCTATTACTAGACTTGCACGTGCCTATAATGCAGTTATACCTTCATCTGGAAAGGTGCTTACCGGTGGTGTGGATTCAAACGCTTTACAAAAACCTAAGAGTCTTTTTGGGGCAGCTCGTAATATTGAAAAAGGTGGATCCTTAACGATTATTGCGACGGCTTTAATAGAAACTGGTTCAAAGATGGATGAAGTGATTTTTGAAGAATTTAAAGGTACAGGAAATGCTGAAATAATTCTTGATAGAAGACTCTCTGATAAGCGAATATTTCCAGCTATTGATATTACAAAATCTGGTACAAGAAAAGAAGAGCTGTTGCTTGATAAATCTATACTCAATAAAGTGTGGGTATTGCGCAGAATACTTAACCCTATGGGCTCTGTTGAAGCTATGGAATTCTTACGTGATAAATTACTTTTGACAAAAAGTAACCCTGACTTCTTTAACTCTATGAATAGTTAATATAAATATTGTCGCGGATAACACCTGTTTCATACTAATGATGGCTTCTATTTTTAGGTTGGCTAGTGTGCTTTAAAGCACACTTGACGTGCAGCTTCTATTACGTCTTCTACTTGTGGTAATGCTTTCTTTTCCAGGTTTGCAGCATAAGGAAGAGGTACATCTTTACCTGTTACGCGCACAACAGGTGCATCGAGGTAATCAAATCCATATTCCATAACAATGGCCGAAAGCTCCGCTCCTATACCTGCAAATGGCCATCCTTCTTCCACGCTAACTAACCTGTTTGTCTTTTTTACAGAGTTGATAATGGTTTCAATGTCAAGAGGTCTTAAAGTTCTAAGATCAATTACCTCAGCTTCAATTCCTTCGTTAGCAAGTGAATCAGCCGCAGTCAAGGCATGCATCAATGGCAATGAAAACGCGGTGATAGTTACATCTTTACCTTTTCTTACAACAGAGGCTTTTCCTATTTCTAGAAGGTAGTCTTTATCTGATAACTGGTTTTCAGGTACTTCATGCTCATGTCCATAAGCTATTTCATTTTCTAGGAATATTACTGGATTAGGATCGCGAATAGCAGCTTTAAGTAAACCTCTGCAATCTGCAGCGAAGTATGGTGCCACCACTTTCAATCCTGGTACATGAGAATACCAAGATGCAAAGCACTGTGAATGTTGTGCCGCAACTCTTGCTGCTGCACCATTTGGCCCGCGAAATACTATAGGACATCTAAGCTGTCCGCCTGACATATAGTGTGTTTTTGCTGCAGAATTTATAATCTGATCGATAGCCTGCATGGAGAAGTTAAAGGTCATGAACTCCACTATTGGCTTAAGTCCAGCAAATGCTGCCCCAACAGCAAGGCCAGTAAATCCATGTTCAGTAATAGGAGTATCAATCACTCGCTTTTCTCCAAACTCTTTTAATAATCCTTTAGTTACTTTATAAGCACCATCATACTCTGCAACTTCTTCGCCCATGATAAACACATCAGGATCGTTTTGCATTTCTTCCTTGATTGCTATGCATAAAGCTTCTCTTACACTCAAATTTGCCATTTATCTATCAAAGTTCAATATTTTATATACTGGTGTATTCCTTCTAAAAGCCTTGCAGACTGATCCTTGTCCGAATCTAAATCAAGCGCAAAATGTGTGACATATTTTCCACCAGGACCCATTAGATATATTATTGAGGAATGATTAATATCTTCTTCTCCGCCTACCTTACTGGCGTAAACTTTGTATTTTGCAAGTATTTCATCTATTTTTTCTTTTTCACCAGTTAACATTTGTATTCTACTGTCAAACTGCTGTTGAAATTCTTTTAACTTTTCAACGGTATCACGCTCTGGGTCAACTGTAATGAAGAAAGTTTGTAATTTATTATGAGTCTTTTCATCTAATTTTGTCAGTGCTTCAGAGATAAAGCCAAGGTTCATAGGGCAAATTCGTTTACACGAGGAAAAACCGAAAAAAACTAACATGTATTTATCTTTAAAATCGTTACTACATATAATTTGTCCATCTTGATTAATTAGGGAAAAATCTCCACCGATTTTAACTTCGTCATTATGAGTTGTAGGAGAAGAAAATACACCCTTCTTCGCAAAGAAACAATAACCTAAAAAAACAACCGCAAGTATTACTAAGACATTCGATAATAACCTGACTATTTTCATAGAATAATCCTGATTAAAATCTTATTATAAGCTTACTAGTTCGCTTGTTCAATTTCTTTTTTCCAAAGAGGATTCTTGATCTGTTTTAACAGTTCCTGATGAGCATCTATTTCTTCACTACTTGGTTGATATTCTCTACAAGTTAGATTATGTGTTTTATGGTCCCGTTTAGATGCAGATTCACTACCCTGTTCATTCTTATTTTCAAACAGATGTGTTTGCAATCCTCCTGTAAGCTCAACATATACTTTAGCTAGCAGGTGAGCATCAACCAGCGCTCCATGGAGCTCTCTGTCTTCCAAGGATATATCAAAACGCTTACATAACGCGTCCAGAGAAGCGGGAGATCCTGCAAATTTCTTTCTTGCTAGCTGTAGTGTGTCTACCACCCTCTCAAAGGAGATTGGTTCAGCATTTACCTTGTCTAATTCCATATTAAGGAATTTGATGTCAAATGTAGCGTTGTGAATTATTAAAATATCATCAGCTATGAAATTCAGGAACTCAGATACTACTTCCGAAAATAATGGTTTATCTTGTACAAATTCTTCACTGATTCCATGAACTTTGAAGGAGTGATATGGTATGTCTCTTTCAGGATTAATATATTGATGAAATACTTTACCTGTTGGAATGCGATTGATTAATTCCACACATCCTATTTCGATAATTCGATGACCTGATTCAGCGTTAAGACCGGTTGTTTCAGTATCAAGTATTATTTCACGTATCATCTCAAATAATTAATGATACTTACTAAATTGTTACTAAATCCTTATTATCATCTGCCTTTTCATAATTAATGGAAACGAGCAGCCAAGTTAGGTCTGATGAATTAATATTTTTTTTGAACTGCCATACATCTTCGACCCTGTTAATGGTGGATGCACTACCAGAAATAATGTTGCCTCTCTTATTTTTAGTAAAGTTAATTTGTTCTGAAAGAAAGTGCACAGCTATGAACACTGTGTTTTTCTCTAATTTCATTTCTACGATTTTCTGTGCAATAATGGAAACGATTACAGATTCATAACATTCACCCAGCTCTTCACGGTGTTTAATCTTTTCTGCAAAATTATTATATAAGTCTTTATCCACAAGAGGTTTAAGTTGCTCTAAATTACCCTGATTGAAAAGCTTTATTATTAATTCAAATGCTATGCTTGAGCCTTTTATAAAATGTGAGATGGAAAAGTTTTTATTTTTTTTTAGTATCTGCTCATAGACATCTACGTTATTTTCATCAGCGTCACCGATATAGTTTTCAGTATCTTCTGGTGCTTTTTCTTCTACTTTCTTAATATCCAACACATCGGTCAGTTTTTTCAGGTTTAAGTTAGTTGATTTTCCAAGAGAACTGTATAAACGTGAGAAAATAAATGTTGCTAACAAGGCATATATTACAAGCTCCATCATGGTATCTACTCCGTATAGCTTAAGATTATTAAGATTTGCTATTTTGACACAATAACTTATATTATACAAATAAGTGTGAAATATTGCAATTTATTAAATTAAAGGAGAGATATAAAATGCCACAACCAAAAATGAAAATTCACGGTCAATATATTAAAGACTTATCATTTGAGAATCCCAATTCACCGTTTCTTTCTGCAAATACATCTCCGGATATTAGTGTTATGGTTAACATACATTCAGTAAAGCTAGAAGGCACAGAAGAAAATCAAGAAATAAATGAGGAAAAATCTTTTCACGAGATTACGCTGCATGTAGAGATTAAAGCAGATGTAAAAGATAGAGATATTAAGGATGGTGTAGCTTTTATTTGTGATATACAATACTGTGGTATTTTTTCAATAGAAAATGCTTCAAGTTATAGTGAAGAAGAACTAAGACGAGCATTATTTATAACTGGACCAATATTTCTCTTTCCTTTTGTAAGAGAAGTAATTGCAAGAGTGACTAGCAGTGGAGGATTTCCTCCTCTTATGTTGGATCCTATAGATTTTGAAGCTATGTATGAAGAGCAGAATAAGCAACAGAAGGGTAATGGTAGTAAGCCTAATCTTAATTAATATGTTGTAATATATTTATATAATTTTTTGAATAAAATGAATAATTCTTTAGATGCAAGGACGGCTCTTACTGCTGGATATAATTATTTCAGTTTAAATGTTGCTGGTAAATTTTTAGGTGTGGATATAGCTAAATTACCGTGCTCACTTAAGATTCTGCTTGAAAATCTGTTGCGTAACAAAAATGTTAATCTAGATGACATCAAAATACTAGCAAATTGTGTTAATAAACATGTTAAGCATGAAATCAGCTATAAGCCAGCAAGGGTTTTAATGCAGGACTTTACAGGAGTGCCAGCTATTGTGGATTTGGCGTCAATGCGCAGTTATGTACAAAAGAATGGTGGCAACCCTTGTANCCTTGTAAAATAAACCCGTCGGTACCTGTTGATCTTGTTATTGACCACTCTGTTCAAGTTGATAGCTATGGAAATAACTATGCATTTAGTCGGAATGTTGAATTAGAAGTAAAGAGGAATTTAGAAAGATATCGATTTCTAAGGTGGGGAGAGTCATCGTTTACAAACCTACGTGTAGTTCCTCCAGGTACGGGAATTTGTCATCAGGTAAACCTTGAATATTTAGCTTGTGTTGTTTGTGCAGACAATGGAGTTGTTTACCCTGATACTGTGGTTGGTACCGATAGTCACACTACAATGATAAATGGGCTATCAGTTTTAGGTTGGGGCGTTGGTGGTATAGAGGCAGAATCTGTCATGCTTGGCCAGTCAATTAGTATGGTTATTCCAGAAGTAATAGGGTTTAAGCTTACAGGTAAGCTCTCTGAAGGAGTGACTGCTACTGATTTAGTGCTGACAGTTACAAACATATTACGCACAAAAGGGGTAGTAGGTAAATTTGTGGAATTTTATGGCAGTGGTTTAAATAACTTATCCATTGCTGACAGAGCAACCATAGCAAACATGGCTCCTGAATATGGGGCAACTTGTGGTTTTTTTCCTATTGATCAAAAAACTTTGGATTATTTACACTTAACTGGCCGCCCGAAAGAGCTGATAGAATTGGTAGAAGTATATGCAAAAAAACAAGGATTATGGCATACTGGAGAGGAATTGGCGTTTTTTGATAAGTTAGAACTTGATTTATCTTCTATAGAGCCAGTTATGGCTGGTCCAA